AACCATCCATGAGGATGTTCAGAGCCCTTGCACACTTGACACGTAGCTGCTTGATGTGTGGAATGAAGCTAAGGTTATGGTCAAAAATAAGTCCCAAGAACTTTGCCTCAGGGACCACATGAATAACTATATCGCCAAGACAGAGCTCGGGATCGGTGGGGAGACCCCGTTGGTGGCAAAAAAGCATGCAAACGGTTTTGGAAAAAGAAAATTTAAAACCATTTGCAGTGGTCCATGTCAACAACCGATTGAAGGCAGTCTGCAGCTGCCGCTCAATAAACCTCATGTTTGACGACTGACATAGGATGTGGAAGTCGTCGACATAGAGCCCATTTGCAACAGTCGGAGTAAGATTATTAGTGATGGCATTAATTTTAACACTAAAAAGTATGACACTCAGGACGCAGCCCTGAGGAACTCCAAGTTCCTGTGGAAAGGAACGGGAAAGAGTTGAACCCACACGGACTTGGAATCGCCTGTTCAGTAAAAAGTTTTGAATAAAAATGGGCAAGTGGCCACGCAACCCATAGAAGTGGAGGTCCTGCAAAATTCCATACCTCCATGTAGTGTCATAAGCCTTCTCGAGATCAAAGAACACAGAAACAAGGTGTTCTCTCTTGAGAAAGGCTTCCCTGATCGACGTTTCAAGTAGAATCAGATGGTACATGGTGGAGCGTTGTCGGTGAAACCCAGACTAGGTGGGCGAGAGGAGGGGGTTCGATTCCAGGAACCAAACAAGACGAGCATTAACCATCCTCTCTAGGACCTTACAAAGACAACTAGTCAAAGTGATAAGACGATAATTAAAAGGACTCTTGGGATCCTTCCCAGGTTTAGAGAAAGGGAGGACAATAGCCTGGCACCAAGCATCAGGAAAAATATGCTCCTGCCAGATGCGGTTAAAAAATAACCAAAAGAATAGCAAGAGAGGCAGGAGAGAGATGGCGCAACATCTCATAATGAACATCATCAGGTCTGACCAATGTACTACCAGACCGATGAAGAGTAAGTTTGAGTTCCACTAGTGTAAAGGGGCGATTATAATCATAGAGACGATCGGCCCTAAAGGAAAGAAGCGATCGCTCTGCCAGAGACTTTATGGCCAAGAAGGCAGGGGAAGAAACAGAAGTGCTAGAAGCATGAGAAAAGCTGTGGCCCAGAGCATCAGCAATGCTCTGGACATAAACAACTTCCTGGCCATTGGAGAGCAAGATGGAAAACATACCTCCCAGTGACTTTCCGAATTTTGTCCCATACAGTTTTGGAACTGGTGGTAGAAGAGATGCTAGTAGTGAACTTAATCCAAGACTCCTTTTGGCTTTGACGTTGAACCTGCCGAGCATGGACATGGGCCCGCTGATAAACAATGCAGTTGAAAAGAGAGGGATACCGTTGGAAGGTATCCCAGGCCCGTTTTTGAGCCTTCCGTGCCTCCTGGCAGGCAGGACTCCACTATGGACGAGGATACCGTGGAAAATGTGTCAAGGTCTTAGGAATAAAATGAGCAGCTGCCTGGACGATACAGTCAGTCACTGCAACCACACAACCAGACAAACAAAGGCAGGATCAAGTTCAGAGAGAGAGGTGAAAGAGGCCAGTTAGCCTGGTCTAACTTCCACCGTGGCACTCGGGTCGGGTGGCATCGACCATGGCCAACCTCCCTCATAATGATAGGAAAATGATCACTGCCACGTGGGTCACTGTCGACCATCCAAGAAAAGTGAGTGAAAAGTGAAGGGGACCAAATCGAGAGATCAATGGCAGTAAAAGACTGGCTAGGTGCATGAAAATAAGTATATGTTCCAGTATTGAAGAGAGAAAAGTTGTGATCCGAGAGCATATGCTCTATGGAACAATCCCTCCCATCAATATCAGCACCACCCCAGAGGGGGTTGTGTCCATTAAAGTCTCCTAGAAGTAAAAAGGGAGATGGCAACTGGT